AATCAATCTCTTCATCATTTTTACATTCATTTCACATTGAATGCAATACATTGAATGCGAACCCTTATTACCTGGTATCTTATTACGACAAGATAACAATCTTACTAATATTGACACTGCGAAAGTTTGCTGGTTGGATGTTTGTTACTCAATGACGCCAGACGGACTGAAAGGATCTGTAAAAAATTTGGCACAGAAATAGATTATAATCGAATATCACATCAGTTTCTAAATTGATTCATAAAATCAGCAATGCTTACGAAGCGTGGACTTTAGCTAGTGTCTAAAAATATTAAATGTTTCTGTCTTTGATGTAGGGAAGGCTAAAGTTAAAAGCATTGTTCAATATACAAACATTGCAAATATTCTTACAGATGCTCTTACAGTCTGAAACAACGACAACTAACTTCACTTTAAGTTATAATACTAACATCAAGGTAACATAAGTGCCTTTTATCATCCGCAGTCCCACTTCAGTTCGAAACCATACAGCTCCTTTGGTAGTACTTTCTGGAACTTCAATCACTCCGTTCTAAGAATGCGTTCGTTTCTTACATACGGCTGTCTGTCCTATTGTGTTTTGTACTACACCACAATGGATATAGAAATGTCTACTCAGTGTTATTAAACCACAACAACAAATCGGATGTCACTATACGTAATAAGTACGTAAGGTATAATAGGTATTGTTGGGTTTAACAGTATTTTTGTACAGCAATTTGTTACTTAGTCAGCGGATTTTCATAATGGCTATAACAATATAATAATTAATAATACCTTTAACGGGAAATTAAGTAAATTGATATATCTCCTCCCACGAGTTCATTTACTCGAACCTTTGATGTTGCAGTTTCTTTGTTTTAACATACTGTTTTTTTTGCCTTAAGAATCTAAATAGTTCGTTGGTACATGCATGCTGACCTAGTATTCAATGTAGTCGTTAATTAAATACTCACATGTCCACCGTCAAAGCCTATTAAAGGCAATTCAGAATCAATAAAACAAGTTATTGCAACTGCAATCGTAGATCTGATGAGAACAATAGAATCAAATTGTGTTAATCATATTAGGTTCTTGGCAAGGTTTTTAAAATATTTTACAAATTGCTTGTTTATTAGTTTTGTTTGAGTTCCCTTTACTTTTTAATCTGATTACGATGTTGGTTAACTGCGCGCCTGCGACTGTTTCTAGAGATTTTGCAAGTCATGTCACGCGCAATATTATAGTGTTTATTTGAATAAATATAAAACTGAAGATTTGTTCCTAAAAATTTGAAGGTAACTTAGACATATCAAAAAAGAAATAAAATTATAAATTAACGCTCCAATTTATGTCCTTAGATACTTCGAAATAATGGCAACTGCATTAGAATCTATGGAACAGCAAAGCTTAACAAATTGCCGTTGTACCTAGTCATTAAGCCCATGCAACGTTAAAACAAGCATTGAAAATGTACTTAGTTCTTAAAGACTGGTGCATGGCGTGTGTTATGTTTCCACACGGACGCTCGCGTGCCGTCCATTGTGTAACCAAGGCAGTACAATAGCCTCCCAGCGGCTAAATATAAATATGTGAAGTGAATGCACTGGATAAAATAAAAAAATACTTAAAGGAGAAATAGCAGAACCGTAGTGCAATTCACCTATTACCACGATTATAATTTTGTATGGACGCCATGATGACTTTGTACACATCTAATTCAGAGAATCTACAAGTTTTTATATTTCAACTTGCATCCTATCAACATCCAAATATAATTAGAAAATGTTCATTTTTACGCAAACCACAACAAAAATTATGAAGACAAAGTCATTGCCTTAGTATTTCTGGTTAATTGCATTCGTCATAAGTGACCTACTTACCAGCAATGAAACGTCTCCTACCAAGAACGAAAAAAGAACATTATGACAAATATCCTGATTGTAGTTAATTTTTATCTTCACCAAACGACGTACATCAAAAAACGTGATTCACTTACCGAACTTTGAATAAAATAACCCAAAATACTTTTTTATGGTGATATCACATTGCGCATGCGACTCGTGTTCATCCGCTCACTCGTCGGTCAGTAAAGTTCCCTTTTGAACCAGTAATTGATGCTTCCGTTCCTCATTGAACTGTGCGGGTCTAGGTGCGCGGTTTAAATGGCCGATGCACCATCTCTACTGCACGTGTAAATGAACTTGCATAGTATTTATTATTATGCCGTCCAAAATAAATAACCCTCTAATTTTATCAAAAAAAATAGTACGAATTAGTATGTAAGTGTGCAAACGGTTTATGGCTAGTTTCTTTTATGACCGGTCTTCTGCCTGGCGCTAACCCTCCACATGAATGTTATCGCTACAAAGGAAGAAGTTAGCCTTAGTTACTCCTATTAATAAAAGATAACCATTACATCATATTTACCGAGATTAGGTTCACTTTATTACCGAACACGATCTAGTAGTTATTTCTCAATGAATGAGATAATTTTCCACGGACATGTTTACGCTAGAACAACATAACGTTATCTCGCATCAATCAGCTGTACGCGTTGCACAAACTCGTGTGACCTTGAATGTTAAGTACCGTTGGACCTTTACAAGATCAGGTTATTTTATCTCATCTATCACCCTGACCCACCTTGGTAGTACACACCTACTTATGTTAATTTAATTATTCACTTAACGCGCAATAAAGTTAAATTCTTAGATACATTTAATTTATAAATATTTCTTCCGTATCTCAAAATTAAAAGGAACTACGGTTTAGAATACGTATGATGTTGATTATAATGATAGTACGTATCAGACTACCAAATAAAAAGTAATTTAAAATATAAAATTATCTAAGTATGTATTCATACTCTCAGCACTACTTAACAAAAAAAAATTAAAGCTCTTGGCGAAGAATAGAATTAAAATTACTACAGCGATTTTAGAAGTTACCTGTTTAAGGATCGATCGATCGAGAAGATCCTGCTGTGCTCTATCTTGACCTGGTTTGGTAAAGAGAACTTCATCACTGACAAGAAATAGCTAAAATATTGTTTATACAGTAACTTCCTTCCGAACGGCAAATGTAAAAGAATCGTCTTGCTTGATACGCCAAACACGTAGTTCTCTATTACCTTGTTGACATATATCTACTAGTTACACGTGAATGTGACGGATATAACCACACGCTCAGAAATGCAAATTATTTTATTATAAGTATACATTGTTTGTAGTATGTATCTTGATTTGTATACAAACAATACAGTATTTTACAGTATATATTATGCAGTATATTACATTTCTATCATTAATCTAAGAATAAATTATTTTTTTATTCTACTAAATGTTTCTTGTAGCCTTGGGAATACACGGTTATTTTAAGCACTATTATGACACTCCTATGATGACGTGATTACGATGTAAGCTAGCTAGACTTCGATTAGGAAGGCCAACTGTCATCATAGATGGTATGGTACGCTCCAAGGAGCTAACTGACTAAGGTATAAAGGTATTTCAGCCACTCTTCGTGCAGGCAGGGCAAGGAATGGCCACGCTCGACACCTCCGCTTCAGAGAATACTGGAATTTATAGCAACTAATGTACGTAACTGTTTGTTGATTTTTCTTTGAGTCACTTGTGTGTCAATTTTATATAAAGGTTTGTATAAATAAAACTATTTATAAAACTGCGAATAGAATTCCTTACACTTTTACGCCTTAATAACTCAGCTACTACTACTACTACGCCTGAAAAACTTTGTTTACACGTTGTCCGGTGTACAGAAGATGACATAGCGTACTATTCATTAAAAAAAATCTGTCACCGGGAAATCTACAAAATAAGACAAAATCTACATAAACATTACCGCGGGCAAAAGATTGTGAGAAATCAGATAAGTGATAAACGTGGATTCATTGCAATTAATTATTATTTCATTCCAAGATAATACGAGTTGTATTGCGATCAGAGGCCATTGATTAGTATGTGAACGTACTTGCTGTTTACACATCGAGACGCCACTACGTCTGGGAGAGCGTGTTTAAGTTTAACCACGAGTCTTGTTGAAGTCTTGTAACTTGTTTGATTCATGTCAAGATGTGCAACAAACCTCTTTTTATGTATTTCTTACTGGTTGTCATTCGTTACAGAATAAATAAGAATACATTTTTGCATATTTCATTTGTTTCATCACATTTAAAGTGTTATAAAAATTAAGAACTTTGATTCCAAAACGATGCAACATCATGCTATTTTAGACGCGACATATTTATGCATACGCGAATATTATGCAAGATATGAATGAACGGTTTATTTTGATACACAGAAACAGCAGATACGGCAAGTGTGTCAATGGCTATCCAAATGCAGTGAACACTACCTCTAACATCAAATGAAAACAACAATTTAGGTTTCATAACGTGGGTTATGAAACCTAAATTGTTTTACATAATGGTTAGTTTCGAACCTCAATAAGGACCACTCCCAATTATGTGAACACAAAATATGTATATAATTTTACGCGCCCACGATAGGTATTAAGTACATACCATTGAATCGCCTGATCGTTTGACCAGGTTGCACTGACAGGTTGGTCTCAACCCACCTGTGCTACACAATTAACATAAAACTGCAATATGATGTCTTTTTAACTAACATCGTAACGTTTCAGGCTCAGCCTAGTTTAGACGTTAGGGCTTATGGGTTGTTGCACCAGGGACTTCCTTTCTAGGGTATACCTGGTTCCCCGGCTATTAGTACCCGAGACGGCGTGCTTTTTTAGTCGGTTCGAGTCCGACATGCCACCGATAGGTGGTATCCGAGAGGATTTCTGCACGGGAAAAAAAAAAGGGCTTATGGGTTGTGATGAACTAATAATAAATAGCTATACTTTGAAAAATGTATAATGACATTTTGGTATCATTAAATCTGTTATTGTTGTTATTATTATTAATTACACTATATTTAAGGACATGCATAAACGTTTTCTTGTATAACTTACCAATAAATTATTTGTTGTTTCAGGATTCGTCCGCAGACATCAGCAGAAGTCCTAGAAGGGTGCGGGATATGCGCACGGGCTAATGGTGCAGCAGGCGAGGGTGGGGTTTCCCTAGGATCAGAACGCGCTTTCACCTTCGACTTCGCGTTTGAACCCACATCGTGCCAGCAACATGTTTACGACACCTCTGTCCGAAAGCTGGTGGAGGCAGCTCTGGATGGATACAACGCAACAGTACTCGCGTATGGACAGGTTAGTTTAAAATAACAGTCTACTAAAATATCAATAATTTTGTCTACTACAAACCGGGTCCAATTCAATAAAAAATACACGAGTGTGTATAAAGAACATTATTGAAAGTTAAACCCAAATAATGCCACTAAATTTTTTACAATTCAGCAATACAATAACGTTTTATGATAAAATTACATTTGAAAAAGTTCAATGACCTGAAATCTACCGGTACAAAAGAAAGTTATAGTTTCGCGTACGTTTCATTTCGTGACTGCAAGAATAAGATAATCATGCAAACTTTCAGTGTCTTTAAGCTTTTTTTAGGGTTTCTGTTGTGTTATTCGTCGCGGTCTACTTTTGACCTAGTTGGCGTTTGAATGAAAATATAGCGCGAACAAATGGAGTAGCTGTATTGTTGCATCTTCATAAGACGTTGGCGGCATGACGCGCTTGTCGGCGGGCGAATGTCAGCTCTTCTACGACCTAGGTTAAGGTGACAACATACTTTTAAACACATAATACAAACAAATGAGAAATTCACCTCATTAACAGCATTAAAATGCACACAACATTATTACTCATTATAGTTGGTTAACCCCGTGAATCATGCGAGGAACTCTTGGCAACTTACAGTCTTTGTCTCTACTACAATAAGACCAAAAGGAGGGTATAAACACATTCGTCTACAAAATAGGATAATATTGAAAGGGCAGTAGACGTTAAGGGGTTCATTCGCGAATCCTTGGAAAATGTCTCACGGCACGGTACCTGTCTACTTTGTTGCAGATGTTGAAAAATGAGCAACGATACGCTCTGTTGGATCTGGCCTGTTTGAAGAATCTTTGTAAGACGATGAATGCCATACCGTATAATTTAAAAAATAAAACAAAAACTAAATGTTGAACAACTAAATCGACATCTTTCGATATAAAACTATCGGTATAAATTTACTTGTCCTGACTGACTGAATTATCAACACAGCCTAAGGTGCTGGATCTACAAACATTTAATTTTGGCAGCTGATGGTTTCTATGTTGTAAACACCCACTAAAAGGGGTTTTTACAAATTTCTCCCCTAAGGGGGTAAAATAAGGGATAAAAGGATTTGTATGGAAGTTCGTCATTTTCAAAGTTAGAAACCCGAAATAAGAAATTATCACGCGAGCGAAGCCGCTGGCAATAGTTAGTTGTGTATAATATACAAATGTATGGAACATATCAACACTAACTACAGTAAGGACGTATATTTCCAGCTCTAAATCTTTATAATGTACTGCCCAACTGAAAGTAATGTCATATTGATTTTAACTAGGCCGGGCAAAGAAAGGTTTGAAAGGATTTTTCAGAGTTTTGAAATACAACATTTTTATTAAATATTTATAAAGGGATATGAACTGTTAAGATACCTACGAAGTTAAAGTACTTATATACTATAATATACTTATAATTTTTCTGACCTTCAAGTTAAGTGTAATAGATTTTTTTTATTAAAGTCGACTGACCTTTTAACATACTCATTATCAGTTTCGTCGAGTAATTAATTTATGTCCGATATTATGTTGATATAAATCTTAAGTTTATATGAATTTGTTTCATTTCACATCACAAATCACCAGCCCATAACACTCCACTGCTGGACATAGGCCTCTCTTTGGAAAGGAGGTTTTGGCCTACTATACTACACTGGCCAGACAAGTTGGTATAGGGTTTGTGTAAAGTATTCCTTCTCTTTGCACTGCTGTTGTCCTGCAGAGTTTGCTCTCTGAGTCGGCTCCTACAACACCCACGAGATGAATAGGGATGGTGACACTCCGTCTTCTTAATCCGTCACCCGCACTGACAATCATTTAAAAATAACAATTAATATTGAAGTTATAGTAGAAAGCTATTGCAGAAAACTAGGCAGTCTTTTTCGGGTCACTAAATGGATTGGTATATTAGCATACATCTAAGTAGCAATGTGTGATCTTAGGTTAAGCTTTCGAACGTTGCTGTGGATAACCCATGGTTAAAAATGTCTTATTGGAAGAATGATATTTAAACACATCGCCACCTTTTTTTTTTCCGTGCGGAAATCCCCTCGGATACCACCTATCGGTGGCATGTCGGACTCGAACCGACTAAAACCGCACGCCGTCTCGGGTACTAATAGCCCGGGGAACCAGGTATACCCTAGAAAGGAAGTCCCTGGTACCCCGACATACCTCGGGCCATCTACAGACGAGTAGACGACCCCCCCGTGTGGGAACCCCATGTTCCCTCTGCTGCCACCACCCCGACCTGCTTCTGCTAGGGTGACAGATGGCCTCACCTGTCACCCCCAGGCCTGCGCTTATGGAGGACGGAGGTCGTTCTGCGACCTCGCCTGCGGCACCTGGCCCGTTCCCGGGCCTGGCGGGCCGGGAGAGTCCTAAACCTCTCCCGGTCCCGCTCCGCCGTCTCCTTCGCGATTAAGTTATGCTCGCGAAGGAGGCACGCAAGTGTTAATTTACGTTTTAATCCTAAACCATAGGTTTAAGATGGTATGTACCTTGTGCAATTTATTTCTTTAGCCTTTTAACTAACCTATAATTAAAAATGCTTGTACGTTGCAAATATAAAATTCTATTATTTGTGAAGATTTGCTTAAGGCTAAATAGTAGTAGTCTTAGTAGATTTGTAGTAGTATTAAATAATCTCTGTTTATAAACAAACCACTTACGTGTGAAAAACAACTTCGAAATTAAAACCAACTTGAAATAAATACCCAGAAGCCATGTTAGTTAAATTCCGATGGCTATTAATGTAGGTGAATTAGTTTTGTAAATTTTATAAGCTTTATAAGTTTCAGCACTCTTTCAGAACATACTACAAACGTACTCCTTCCTTAAAGGCCATCAATGCGCTTGTGACTCCTGAATTTTTCTTCATGGGCGGTAGTCGCTTTCCATCAGGTAAACCGTCTGCTCGTTTGCCCCCTCTTCCATAAAAAAAAAAACTGGTTTACATCTCCTTTCAGTGAATCATTTGACAAAGATTGTTTGTCCATATATTTTTTAATCTTTCACAACAAATTTACGTTTACAAATCACTGCAACTTATAATCGGCTGAGATAATGATCAAATGCCAATTTGTCATTGAAAAATGTTTTACTGCACGGCTATTGAAATTGACGTATAATTATAATTATTTAAAACAAATTTAAAATGTCTTCGACAATAGTTTTTTTTTACCCCAAAAATAATATATTAGATATATATTTAAAATATTTTTTATTACAGTGAAATAGAGTACCTTTCTATTATAAATATTTTTATTGTACTACGTAGATTCTGAACAAGACATCCGGACTAGAGTCTAGTATGTTAATACATGCACGAATGTCATGATGCTCATAACCTACTGGTATTTAACGTAGGTGGCGCCAAGGTAGGCATTGATGTAGAATATTTTTCCTCTTAGTATACTGTCTGCTAACTAATATTGCAGTTTTTTTTTAAATTAATAATTCGCCCTATTTATAAACTTACATTTTTGTTAGAATTTATAAGGTAGGTCAAGAACTCGATTAAATTTATGAATTTAGCATACGTGAATATAATTTTATTTTATCCAACCGCGAAACCTGACTGAATGTAAGAAAATAGACTGTAATACTGTAGAAAAAGGTCTACTTTTGTGATTTAGGAAAAAAATACGTTTGTAGCACCCCTTAAAAAGTACCCCTGACCTGTGATTTTATGAATAATAGTAATAATATACGCATGCCCCACGTTCGCATATCGCGTGACTCACGTTGTATATTGAACTTATCCAAATTGCACTCTTAAAACTTACACAATACAACTGATTTGCTATCGTTAATCTACCAAAAATCTAGGCCTTATCGTCAATCGTTCATAGTACGAATTGATACTTAAATCTTATCGTTCCTCAGAATAACCAACGGTTTTAAATGAGTTTCTTGCCTCTGGTATGGTTTTTTATTACAGTCGTTTATTACTAAAATAAAATTAGTCCTATTATTATCATGCCTTGGTATTTCATTACAATTGTCAACCAAAGTCAGTAAACTGGAAGAAATCTATACTGAACGGTTAGACTCTGATAATATAACGGACTGATTTCACAGTACAATTTCGCACACATCTGAATCTGAAGTCAAACGGATTATTAGATGTATCACGGCCAATTTGACTTCGTTCTGACCTGGTTCATACAAACACTGGTTATTTTATACTGAGCTTGTGCTGAAGTTCTTAGCGCATTCACTTACATAATATTATTTCTCGTATAATAACTGCAGTATTTGTGCATTGAAGTATAGAAATATCACTCGTAGACTAGTGTGGGAATAAGCCAGTGAACTATTTCATCCACTTATGGCTTGTTCGAAATAATAGTGTGCACTTTATTTATGGTTTTAAATTAAACAGGAAGTGTCGACAAACTAGAGGGGGAAAGTACTGCTTCTCTGTATGTTGCATAAGAATGTCCGCTACATTAAAACATATGTATTTATTTACAAATCCCGTATAGAAAATATTATCTAGGTATTTTCGAATTGTGGTAGATGGTTTGCTTACCATGTATTTTGTTGAAAAAGGTGTAATTGAGGTGGTGCTGCTTACCGTAATTCGGGTGTAATTGTTTGCTGGCTATAAAAACCTTGATTGTGACAACATTTAGCTACTAGCTGTGTGTCTGTTTTTTTTAATCAATAAATACATACTGGCTAATTGTCGAAATTCGTTCTATTAAAATTCTATTTGAGAATAGCAAAGCTATCTAATAGGTGGGCTTAATTGTGTTATGTCTGTTCAGAGCTAACTGATCTCTTTTGTGACTGCGCTCTCGACACCGTTGCGTTACGATTCGTGAAGATTTCGGCGCAAGGCAATCGAAGCGCCGAACGCGGTCAACGTGACGATCGAGTAGATGTGAAATAAACTCGTACTAGGGCCTCAGATGAGTACCGTCTACTCGTTTGCCATCTGTAACTTAAAAAAAAAACTCGAGGAATAGAAAAACTATTTTA